TTAACAAAAATGATTTGTAACAGTGGTGTACGCAGAATTCGTTTATATACATACATATATGTGGAAAAATAAATGAAAAAATCTAAAAATGGAATAAATAATGAAACACGAAATTACAAGCATATAAACCTTTGTTAATTGTAATATTCCATGAAAGAAATCATTATACATGTTTTACTTATGGGAAGGGAGGGGGTTAAAACCCCTAACCCCTCCGTCAGCACGTCGCTGACTTGTAGTATACTTGTAACATTTGACACGCTCAGTATTCTTACATTATCGAAGTATTATTTATAAATTTAGCAACATACGTCCGCAATCGTGTCATTTTCGGTGGTCCATTGGTAAACTATAATCGTCCGCAATCGTGTTATTAAAAAGGTCGCCTCGATAAGAATCGTCCGCAGTCGTGTATCACTGATACAATTTTGGTTTTGTAAGGATTTGATGAGAATTTTCCAAAGGAACTTTTTGATTCTTAAAAATTGTTGTCTATAAATACTACTATTTTATTAATTGTTTCAATGTGCCAAATGTTTTTATCTAGTTATCAAATAGGTATTTACTTAAATTATGTGTAATGATAAATTTAAGTGAAAATAATAGTTATCATTTATATTTTTTCAATCTTAAGTAATTTTTCTCTTTGACTCTTTACTTATATAAAAAAAAAAAAAAAAAAAAAAACTGAAACTGTAATAAATCAGAGAAGATATTTCAATATAATAGCTTAAGATAGAGAAATAGAAATATGGAAAGCTAGGTGTATTGTTGGCAAAAATCATTTGAAAAGACTATTGCAGTCTACTACCGTATACTACTACTAAGCTAAAACATATTAATACAAAGTATTAAATATATTTTTATTATCAATAAATATAAGTGATGATAGATAAATATTGGACGTCACTTGTTAAATATATTTTATTTTCCCTGTGACAAATTTAAATCAAATAAATGGCGATGGGTTAAGATAATAACGAATTTATAGGCTCAAGTGAAAATTTTATTAGAATATTTATTTACCGTGAAAAATGCATACAAGAACAACAAAATTATCATTAGACATCAGTACTATTATACTAAATTATATTATTAAACGTAATATAGTTTGAAGTATATTCCATTAAAAAAATGAAAATAAATAAAACGAATATATTATCAAACATTCAAACGTATAATGAACTTATTTATTTTACAAATTTTACTCTACACAATTTCTTTGTCACAAATTAATTATTATAAATAAGAATTGTAGTATTGCAGAAGAAAAAAAATTTTGCTTTTATGAAATTACTTTTGGATAATATCCGTTAACTATAAAAATTCATAAGGTTAATTTTAAATTTAGTTATAGTTAAAAACTTATTTTTTGCTATAATATTGAATTTATTTTTTATGAAATTTTGAAATGATATTGAAAAACATTTTGCTTATTTTTTTGTAAGTATTTGAACCCATCAATGTTTTTGATCTCAAGACAAATATTTTTTGAAATTTTAAATTCAGTGCAAATGCACAAAGTAAAAAATGTTTTGGTCTTGCAATGGTGTTTTTATCTATATGACTATATTTGGGCTGTGAAAATCTCTAAAAGTGTCATGTAGTGTCGATTAGTAGTACGTTTAGTAAAGCATATAGAATAAAAGATAATTTTTATCCCAGAAGTTTTTTTCTAAGCACAATTAAATAACTAAGTACCGAAAACTTTCGAACATTTTGAAAAAATTACAGCAAACGTGACCAACCTATACCCATATGATATTGTAACAGTTTATGTCATGATTATTGTTACTTCAGTTCAAAAAAGAATAAACGAAAACTAAAATAAAACTGGAGTAATTTAGTAGACAAAACCCAACAAGAATAAAAAAAAAATAATATTATTTAATTATTATTTTAAAAATACAAAAACACTAGAACGAAATATTATAGACTATTTTTAATAATATTTCATCTTTTAATTTATTATCGTTACTCGTGAGCTTACATTTTTTGTATAAGTACCTATTCATTTTTTTAATGTTTACACTTATTTAACTAAAATATTTTCATAATAATTCGAGTGCTTTATTTATTAATATTTTAAAGATTCTAAGCGGAATGCAAATGAAAAAAATGTATTGATTTTAATAATGTATATATTTTTTGTCTGTCATCACCTTTTAGACAGTAGCTTAAAAGTGCTTTGGTTTTAAATTTTGAGGTTAGTTTCTAGTTATAAATTGGAACTAATTAGTTAAAACCCCTCAAAATTAAAACTTTTTAAAATAGAATTTTAAAAAAATAGAAATTTTTACGGAAAAATTGATTTTCCTTTTTTATTTTTTTGTAATTCAAAAACAAATTACAGTATTTACTTTACATTAAATTTTACACTTAAAATTTTAATTTTTTTTTCTTTAAAAAAAAAAAAAAATATTTAGTGGCTTAAAGTTTTTGAAAATTTAATACTAGATCACACATAAGTTTTTCTTATATCTATTTTAAAATTTTAAAATACTTTGGCATTTTTATTTTTATATATTTGAATATTTTTAAGATATTTGTCAAAATTACAAAAAATATAATAAAAAATGTATAATACCTTAAAATTTAATACAATATTCTTCATGAATAGGAATAACATTTAAAGTTTAGATTTGAACGAAGCTTCATGTTTTAATGGAGAATCAAATGATTTTAAATTTAATCATAATAACGTTGTTAAGTATTTTGTTATAATTCAAATACATTATTTAAAAAAATTAAAAACTTTTACGTATATTATTATTTTTGTTAGCTATTTTATTGTATACTTCACATAATATTCGAAATCGGAAGGAGTTTAATTATGTTCTCTTTGAAAAGTCAAGACAAATGATTTTTTTTTTTAACAAAGACGAAAATATAATTAAGCTAAAAGGTAAATGTTTTTGTTGTACAAATTCTTTTATGAAAATAATCCAAAAAGTTTAAACAAATATTATTATAATTGATTTTTTATTTTTTAATTAGATGTAGTTATGTTAGTTTTATGATTTCTGGATAAAAACTTTTTAAATCTAAAATTATTAATATACAATTTGGAAAAAATGTAATAATGAATACCACGCAGTAAGTAAATGTAATACTTGTTATAAATCATCTTAGAATAGACATAATATAAAAAACACGTCATTTTATATACTGCTTTTAAAATATATAAAATATAGGTACTTGTTTGGTCTTATTATTTCGTATAGGTATCTGAGTACATGTCTGCTGGAATTATTCAATCCATTGTTTTCATTTCAACCAACTTGAACAATATATTATCTTGAACGTTATATTTATTATTACTTTTAAATTGAAATGTGAAGGCTTTAATATTTTTTGATTCAAAGAAATAGCTTTATACGATAGCCGTGCTATTAAAAATTTACGTCATAGCCCATAGGTATTCGTTTTTAACAAAATTGATTTTAAATATTTAATTTTAATTTTAAAGAAATTTTGCCAATTACTCAATTAATTATTAAGGATACTCAAATTATTTTTTTAAACTTGCTATGACTGTGTTTGGGTTGAAAAAAAAAGTTTAAAAAATATGTTGTTTTCTTTTAATAAAAGTTGAAGAACTGTATTGCTTTCCGACCAGAACATTTAAAACAAGGAGGTCTATGTTATATTAATTACATCATTTTAATAACTCAATATTTTATTGGTAGTCAAATTTGAGTTGTATATTTTAATTTTTTTTAACGATAGTTACCGTATTTCAATATCTTTAAATTAAAATATTGTTGGTTAAAATAACAAATCAGAGGAATTAAATAATAAAAATTTAAATTACAAAATTTGAATGAAAACATCCAATTGCTCAGTTCAAACAACAAAAATATGTAATTTGTTTGAACAAAAATTTGTTAAGATTTTGGTAAAAACTGGGAACGCTATTTGTTTTTTTTTCTTTTAGATTTTATATCGAATAATTATATTCGTGTTCCGTTTTTAATTTATAATATCAAGATAAAACTTTTTGAATTTTTTCACTTTTTAAATGTTTTGATTAGAAAAAATGTTTGTCATTACATACTAATAGCTTTTCTCTGTCATTCAAGTTAAATTAATGGCGGGTTTTGTTATACATAACACTGTGTACATATATTGAGGATTGAACGATTTTAGCTTTGATCTACGCCAAGAGTTTGTTTCAGTAGTTAATTAAAAATAAAGATTATTTACCAATAATATTGTAATATTATTTTCAAGAAGAATTGTAAAATAAACAAGGCTTTGAAATAAACTATAATACCTGCAATATTGTTTATATTACTATATATTACGAATAAACAGATAAATCATGTATTACATTATCTATAGTATAGTATGGAAGAGCAGTTTAAACGTTTTCATTTAAAGTATTTTACATAAATTATAATAAAGGACACGCCATTTGATTTGATTGTTGAATTATTTTATACATGAAACGCCTAATCAAAAAGATTACTATAAGAGGCAATATGTTATTCTCTTGAACCATAGAGAATATAGTTTATTATTTGTGGATTATGTGCATGCATGTACTTAATCCCTAAATTAGCTGATTTATTAAAAAATTATTATGAATTTACGATTCGTTTAATTGTTTTGTACGGCAGTATTATAAGGAAATGTAATATTAATTAAATCGAGTATATTATGTTTGAGACATCATATATTGCTAACAGTATTTTTTATTTTTTATTTGAAGAAAGCTGTCTTCAACAAAAAATATCTAAAATCTGAGGAATCAAATTTCATTTATTATATTGAAAAATATTGAAATTACGTTTGAAATTTTATTGAATAAATTTTCAGTTATGTATATGTGTGTGTGTGTGTGTGTGTTTGAAGAACATCAATAAGTTCTCTGTGTACGGAGTAGGTATTCCGAACTAAATGATATGTACGTACTATGTAAATAATTTTGTTCTTGTATTTTATAACTTATATAATATTATCACTTTATCACTATTCATTATAGATATTATACGTACCGGCAAAAGCAGAAGGGATCGAAGTGAGAAATAACTTTTGACTTTTTACACGCACCCCAGTCTCTTCGTCTTTCATTTCTCTGACCAGCCCCTCCATCTGAAAATATAAATTTATAATAATTAACCTTAATAATATTTCACTTGCAATGTTTAATTGACTCTTCAAAACATCAACCACGCCGTAGCGTAGAAATGCCCGTCCGGTGAAGTATATAGGTAGTTGCAGCCTGCAGTAAAGTGTTCTAAACTTATAAGTATATTGAGCGACCTGTGATAGCTGGGGCCAGGAAATTAGTAATTTGTATGATTTATTATACGAGATTGTGTAGGGTCGAATAGTCATTAAATTTGTATCCTGTTGTATAGACTGCAATTACATTGGTTGTTTAATATTTTAAATTAGAATTAGACCATTCAGAAATCGAAGTTTATGAAATATATATAAGCTTAAAATGATGTTAATTTTAATGTAATTTGATTTTTAGTGGTACTTATTTATAATTTCAATTTAGTTTCTATGTACTGAGTATAACAATACTATATTTTATGCGTAAAAAAAAAAAAATTCTTGACTAAATTAATTAGCTGATTAGTTTTTAAAATTAATTTGAGTTTGATTCATAATACAATAATCTTTAGATACACAAGTTTATTATATTTGTAGTAGGTATGTACTTAAAAAAACGCTTTTTGAAAAGTATTGTCTTTTGAAATATTGTAATTTTAAATAAATTGATTAAGATTGTAATATTCATATTATGGTAGTGATTTGAAATTGACTATAGTTGATGAAATATCTACGTACCTTGTCAAAGGCAAAAGGCCTGCGTCTGCGATCCGATTTATCCATGTTGTTGGGGGCGGGGGGGCTGGGTCGTGTAAATACGTCACTTACCCTGGCTCCATCGGTCTCTGGCCCCGCCCCCTCATTGTTTTGGACACTCGTTACCCGTTCATTTGATCTAAAACATTACATAAATGCCGTGTTTAACCTTAAAAAACTCGTAAAATAAAGATATAGATCAAAAACTTCATTTGTATAAGACAAAAGCAGACACCCAATTTAGTGTTATTTTTCTCTTTGACATTTTCCATATTTTGTAATGTTGTATTCCTATACAGATAATTAATACAGAAAATTATCGATATATCCACAAAATTAATTCAATTCATTAAAAATATTAAATAATACTCTTTTGTGTAAGTATGTATAATAATTAACAGTTATGATTATACTAAAAATAAATTGTGAAAAAAATCTTTTGAATATCTATGACATGTAATTACATTATACAGATTCATTTTTTCTGTATAAATAGCTTTGTATAGCCGGTGTGCTATATGGAAATATTTATTTTTCGAATAGTAAATATTAAAAGAACGTCGTATCCACGTATGCTGTCTCTGGCTAACTATCGTACATCATTCAAATTTGCGTTAAGCATAATACATTTTATGTTGTTTGCTTTGATATTAGAGTCGAGTTTACCTATAATCAAACTTATAGGTAAGAATATTATACAGAATATCATGTAGGTTTTCATTGATATTCAAATTTTAAAATGAGTTATGATCATTTTAAAGCTTTAATATTTTGCACAACTATAATTCACTTTAAAATGAAAATATCGATAAAAGCCTATGTTATGCCTTATTTAATATTCTTATCTATAAGTCTTATAATAGGTAAATTTATTCTAATACTAAAGCTAACAGCATAAAATCGATTTTATCGAACATGAATTTGCTGTATTGTACGTATTTATGACTGATACAATACATGTAGGTGTCAAATATTAGGTGCTGCTAACCAAATGTTTATTAATTGTTATCAAACCGATACTTAGTGAAGCAATCGAGTTAATTGAAATGTATGTATACAAAATACACTATAATATTTAACAAATAATAAAATTATAAGTGCCAACGAAGCTTATCTTATGAAAAATCTTAATTACAAATATTTCACTGCTATATATATTTATACTTATTAATATTAAGTGTATAAATCAAAAAAAAATATTTTTAATTGTATTCTGTTTAAGGAACATGTTTTGAAAAGTTATTGTGTTCTTATTTTAGCTTTATATTATATAGCATACATGGTACCATTTTGTACTTAAATATACACGCATTAACATATTCAAAATACAACAATAGAATATTTTCAACTTCATTAAACTTATAAAATTATTTTATTAATTTTTTATTTATTTCTTTATTAATATTGATCGTTTAAAATGTTTAAATGTAATTTTTTTCAAAGTATATAGCAATATGTAATTAAGTGTCACCAAATTTACTTTTTACTATCCCCGAAATAGGATATAACATTAACGTGCTTGCTGAAGTCTCTTGAACAGGTTTAATTTACTTTGAACGTTTACATCTACTTATACTTATACATATTCTTAAAATTTCTGACTGAGAACAATTTCTTTACTGGCTTTTATGAAAAAAAAAAAAAAAACAATGAGAATTGAGAACTCAAATATATATAAATACTAAATAGCTTAAAAATAACAGCGACAAAATATTTTGAAAAATATGCCATGAATAGAAAATATTAATACACATATTTTGTAAAAAGTTCAAGTATATAACTACGATTATAGTTATCCATTTTCGAATCTCAGAAGATTAAGAAATTCAATTCAATTGAAAACTTTTTAGCGTAATTATCTTTCCTAATTATTAAGCAAAATACTGGGAATTCTTTATTTTTGACTTATAAAATAGTATTAGATTCACTTTCCTACCATAAAAATATGGATGTTAAAAGTCTAAGCATTTTTAGTGCTCCAAAGGACGATTACACACACGCACACACACACACAAAGAAACGCATCATTGTAAAATCAATACAATCATTGCTCCGCTCAGAATCTAAAACATTGTAGTTAAACTAAAATATTCTACTTTTCGGTTGGAATCTGAAATGTAATTCATTAGAAATTTCTTAGAATGTTATAAATTATGTAATCACTATTTTTCAAAATATATATACGATTGCAGTAACAAAACTGTAAGTAGGTATTCCATTATTCTTGCCAGTTTCTCAGAACGTATTATTCTTGTTTGCTATATTACAATCAATCAATATAGTTTTGATAAAAAGGCGAATAATTAATTATATTTAAATAGTAACATTATTTTATATCTTTATTAATTATTAATTAATAAACATCACAATAGCAAACATTATTCCCGCAAATGGTGTTATATAACTATGATTTCCAATTTTCTGCATTTAAGCGTTACACGATACACGCGATCTCTTAATTAATCTAGAATTGAGAGGAAACGGATTAATTTTCTTTCCAGTATCGCACAAAGGATTTAAAAGTTTTTCAGTGCCATAAAACGCGTTTTTATTACATACTATTACGTCAAAAGCACAAATTCATACACTGTTATACAACAGTATACATACCTGTAATGCTTTTAAAACAAGACTCTTTCAAGGCTTAATAGACTTATTTTCTGATGGTTGCAAACTTTTCCTTAGACTTTTATTTTTTTGAGTTTTGATATCAGAATATCTTTGTATGATATATTTATAGATAGATTTATTTATATACGGAGAGTAAATTTTATAGTGTATTACGTATGTTTATTTATTTATTTTTTTTTTTTTAATGCAATATACCTAATAAATTGATAAAATTGAATTTAAAAAAAGTGAAATAATAAAATATTAAAGTGTTTCTCTGTATTTTACGACAGCTTAAAATTTTTTAATGTAGCAGTACCTATATTATTGTTATCAATAATTTCAAGTTCATTTTAAATTGTTGGCAATAATTATTTTTTAACGGATTCTGGTAAACAATAGTGCTTATTTTTTTGAAAATATTGATGATCGGATCATTCATGTTGATTCACTATATGTACATATACATTTTTAAAAATTTGATATCATATTATAAGTACATATGTATAAATCTATAATACGTATTTATTGTATTTTATTGTAGATTTCCTATTTAAGTTTATAAAAAATATATTAAATCGTATTAAGAAATATCCATGTTTATTCATTCCAATTATTAAATATCTGGAAAATTCATGGTTTCAATAGAATAGTATCATCTTGGTTGCTTTAAATTATGTACATAAATGATTTGAATATCAATTAATTATTGTTATTTAGATTATAACTTCGAAAAACGAATGAATCGTAGTGCTTAATGTGGGTATCATTGGAAACGATATATATTAGATAAAATTACCTATTGAGATGTATTCTTTGCTTTATAAAAAAAACTTATTTTTTAAATAGACTTTTTCAAAAATGTAAATGTCTACTTATTTTATTGCTTCAAGTTTTCATATATAATGATTTTAATTTATTATTTATTAAAAACATAGCCTGGGCTAATATTGTCTTCCAAAACCTACGAATTATTCTTTTTTTCTCACATTACTCAGTTATTTCATATTTATTACTTATTTTATAATACGTTTCATAGTTATTTAGAATACCAATCTACATCAATTAATGATGTTATTTATTTTTAAAAAACAAAATTATATTTATATAATATACTATGCGACATTATATTAAACACATGTTAATTTTACAAAAAGGGGATAATAAAAATACGATAAAAAACTAAGACGATATTATTTTATGGATTATTATTCATTCTATAAAATATCAATTTTTTTTAATTTTTTCAATAAAATAAATACATAATTTGAAATGTCAATCTTAATAATTATTTTAAATTATCAAACGCAGCTTGAGATGATAATAAATGTTGTATAAAATGTAATCAATATTATTATTTTGATCATTATTATTTTTACTCTTAAATAAAACAATTCCATATTTAATAAATTAAAATTAATTCCAATAGTAAAATCAATATTTTTTTTTACCGTAATGAAGAATCAAAAAGTTTAACTATAGTTGGTATTTTTATACTTGTAGATTACGGCTGTTGACATGAAAATCCAGATAATACAGTTAATTTTATTTTTTAATACGTAAGAATTATTGCGTTAACTAGTATTACTTTAATATAACAATCATTTTTATTGGAGAGAAGCATAATAATAGTTATAGACAATCATTATACTATTAATTATTTCTTAAAATTCGAATTCACCCCTAATGTAAAAAGTTTAATATTAAAAATATAAATGATTATTTTTTTTCTAAAATATTGATATAGAATGTTGCATACTTTTTTTTTTTTAAATAAATTTACAATCTGTACCTTGGCACAATAAGTAAATGCGATAAAGGAATAACATAATAAAGTATTAAACATATCTAATCTAACATAAGGAAGAAAATATAGTATAATAAATGTTGCATACTAATTTTACATTTTTATTAATTTATATTTTATTCAATTTCTAAATATTTTACTTACTTTTAAATCATTGTATATCTATTTTATAACGACAATTTTTTGTTTGATAATCAATTATAATTTATAATAAATACAAATGAAAATGAATTCAAGTATATAATACGCACGTTTAAGAAAAATATTATGTTTTTGTTTTAGTTTCACTAATAATCAACAACTAACAAATCTAATTAAAATAAATTAAACTAAATTATTTTAACTAAAATTAAAACTATAAGAAATATTATATTTCTATGAGAAAACATACAAATGAAATAACTAACTACCAGCTATAATTTTATTCAGCTAACATTGTTTGATTTATTTTTTAAAGACATAATATTATAAAGATTTTTATTAGTCAAATACATTGATTATATAAAATTAAAAACTAAATCGTAAAATAATTGATTTGAGATTAAAATAACATAGTATACGATGTAAAGTAAGTAATTTATAAATTGTCTAAATGTTGTTAATGATACATTGAATGTTCAATAAATTGTTGAAATATTTAAATGCTTTAGTTTCAGATATAAAACACGCCATTATAATATTATTTATTATTTTATTACACTATAATTATTTTATTTTATTAG